GATGTTCCTTTAGAAATTAAAGACAGACAGGCATGGTGGTACAAGCCTATAATCCCAGCACTTGGGAGGCTAAGGCAGGAGGACCACAGTGAGTTCAAGGCCAGCAGTACATCTTGTGTAGCTTCTTGTCTCCAAAAAAGAGAATTATCATGTAATTTTACAATCTCACTTTTTGGTATATAAACCCAAAAGAATTGAAATCAGAACCTTGAAGAGATATCTACACTCGCATACCCCCATAGTTACTGTATCAGTGTAGCAGTATTCGTAACAGTTAAGATTTGGAAACAACTCTAAAAACCATCTATAGGTGAATAAAAATGTGTGTGTGTGTGAGAGAGAGAGAGAGAGAGATAGAGAAATATATAGATATATATATATAGCAAAAAAATGTATCAGGAAAATAAAAATTTGTATAAAACTTTAATACTACATTTATTGAGACAGCATGAGATTAATATAAATTTCTTGTCCTCTACAATCATAAGAGGTGCTCAAAATGGTGGGAATTAGCTTCCAGGCATTTATTAAAATAGTGTACTACAGAGTCCACCCGAAAAAAAGTATGCAGTTTAGGAAAAGAAAAATAGTATAATATTTTCTCAGCAGATGGTGTTATCCTCATATATAGGACCCTAGAGGATGATGGATATTGCAGAAGATCTAGTATACTGCCATCCCTTAAAGAAGAAATTGAAAGTAAATGTGCAGCAATCTCAGTGACAAAGGTTACCCAGGCAGCAGTTCAATATATTAATAAATGGAGTAGTCTACATAAACTTTTTTGGTAGACTCTGTATTTTACTAAACTATACATATATATATATATGTATATATATGTATATACATATATATATGTATATGCACACAGGTACACAAGCAATGAAATATTATTCAGCCTTTAAAAAGGAAGAAAATCCTACAATTTACAACAAGAAACTTGGGGACATTATGCTAACTGAAATAAATTAGCATTTATTAGAAATGCTAATTAGAAAAATAACATGTAAGAACATGTAATAATACTTTTTTAAAATTTTTTTTCCATAATTTTATTGAGAAACAAATAGCAATGAGACAGTTTCAAATCAAATTGGTAGGACAGTTTCAATAATTAACACATTGCATACTCTCTTCCTACTGGTTATTTGCTGTACAAGATGCAGACATAATATCCTATTTACAAACACTATTACAACAAATCCCTCTGCTCATTAAGAGAATGTAACTATATATCTATCCTAACCACTTTGAATACACAAATACAAAATGGACATTCATTTATATATCCCCTTTTTTGTTTAGTTCCATCATTTGAATATTATAGGTGTGTTAACTCAGCAAAATATTCTAAAAGAGTCCAGTAATCCATAATAGTATTGGGTCTTCCGCTTGACTGGCAGTGTCAAAAATTGTTGACCTGAGTCCCCATGTTCAATAATACTAAAATCAGGTATCTAAAATAACCAAACTCAGGGCTGGTGAGATGGCTCAATGTTCTAAAGCACCTACTTTAGAACAAGCTTAGCAAAGCACAGGGACCGCGGTTCAATCCCCCAGCACCACATGCCAGCCAGCCCTGCCCCCTGGTGGGCTGAGCTGGCCACACACACACACACACACACACACACACACACACACCCTCACACATAAATAAATAAAATTTAAAAATAAAATAAAATAACCAAACTCATGGAAGCAAAGAATAAAACGGGTGGCCAATGGCTAGGGAAGGGAGAATCAAGGAATTGCTGATAGTAGTTATAAAATTTCAGTCATGGAAAATATTCACACATCTAAAGATCTGCTGCACAATACTGTGCCTATACTGTACTGTGTACCTAAAAATCTTTAATTGCCTTTTTTTTTTTTTTTTTTTTTTGCAGAACCGGGGCTTGAACTCAGACCCTTGTGCTTGCTCTACTGAGCCATCTCCCCAGCTCCCATAAAAATCTTTAAAAGGGAAGAACTCACACTGAATGTTCTTGCCACAACAAAATTCTTAAATGTCAACTTTATGAGGATTTTACTATAAGTCTACTGATACATTTATTATTCATTTGAATATTGTACTTTCCCAAAACATACTAATAACCTTGAACTGACAGTCTTCCTCAAGGACCTTCTTTTCCAAAATTTTCTTCACAACGATCACAAAAATTATTTGTTTTCCAAACCGACTTTAAAGTTATTTTGTTGCATTATAAAATTACTTGACAGGAAGTACAATAAACTTATGACTTAATTTGATGAATACAGACACGTTTTCAATACTTAGTAGTCTCATAAAATAGTGCTCCCTTTATGCAAAATATCTGTTTTGAGTTTCAGTAAGCTGAAGCTAAATGAGTCCTATGTTCCTCCTGTTAAGTTTATTCTCAGACAGCTAATATTTTTGGCAAATACAGACAGCTTTCTCCCTCTCATTTTTCAAAACTGTTATGACTGATTTATGGAAAATTTGTTTAATGTTTTTGAATCACAGCTGTTGTGGTTTAGATCTAGATGTCCCCCAGAAGTATCATGTGCTCACAGGCAGAACTTCTGGAAGAGGCCTGGCCCGAGGGACTTCTGCTGACTGGCTGCTCAGAGGCAGGGCCTGGTCAGGGGAAGTGGGTTCACTGCAGGCAGAAACTGGAAGGGTATACAGCTCTCCACTTGCTCCTCTCTCCTTTCTCTGCTTCCTGACCACCATGATGTGAGCAGCTCTCCTCTGCCCAAGTCTTTTTGCCATCTCATGTCTAAGCCAAACATGGATTGAAACTTCTGCACTGTAAATCAAAATAAACTTCTCCTTCAAAATGTGGATACCAGGTTTTATTGTCCTGCTAACAAGAAAATGACTCTGTCCAATTATGTACTTGTTTCTAAATCTTCTCTTTATTCGTTATCTTAGCTAGAACTTCCAAAACAAGATAAACCACAGGTTGAGTGTCCCTTATTTGTTACAATACAGATTTCAATGTTTTTTAGACTTTGGGGCTCTTTCACAGACTTTACCAGCTTAGCACTCTTACTCCAAAAATGTGAAATCCAAAATGCTTTGAAATGTGCAACTTTTTCACTGCTTTGTTAGTATTCAGAAAGTTGAATTTCAGAGCATTTTGGACTTCGAATTTTCAGATTAGGGGTACCTAACTTGTAATAGTACTGGTACTAGGTACTATATGTGCTGGATATTTTGTTTTCTCCTTCAGATCCTAACTCATACAGTTCTTCTCTCATGTCCCATGCTTAAGACTGGCCTACAGAGACTGCATCTAATTAAATGGTAGCCAAAAAGAGGAAATGACAAAGATAAATTGGGAGGAGAATAAGATTGACTAATACTCCCGGGGTCCACTCGAGTTATCAGGTCACCTCATGCTAGTAGTTCTACCTCTTATGAGATCAGTCTCTCCTTCAGCTTACAGCTACCCTCAGCAAGATCCAGAAACAGAACTCTCTTTTTACATCTGCTATATCCCCAGGGCAATTATACTCCAGTTAGCAAAACAAAAAACAAAGAACCAAAACTCCCCCTTTTGGCTCTGTTCTTGGGGAAAATGATGAATCGCCTTATACATATATGAGATCATCTTACATTCATATTTAAAGTTTTTATGCAGAAAATTTAAAATACAGTATTAATAATACCCTTCAAAATATTTTGATTATATTTTGTCTTAAGATTTATGACTGGGGCTGGGGAGATGGCTCAGTGGAATAAGCGCTTCCCTGGCAAGCACAAGGGACTGAGTTCAATCACCAGTTTCCAAAAACAAAAAAGATTTATGTACTTAATGGACTCATTTAGAGCTTTCTGTTCTACCTCACTATGCTGCAAGAATGAGGTTTGCTGTTTTTTTCCACTACCACTGTCCCCCTCAGCCTCCTCAGACCTTAGACCTCCCTGTCCCACTCTAACTTACTGCCACAGGCCTTATCATCTTTGAGCATTCTATACTGTTTATTTATTGGTGATAGTTTGTCTTCCCCCACTACATGCCACCTCCCTGACAGGCAAGTCTTTCACTCACTGAGCATTCCAAGTGCCTAGTAAATATCTGATAGATAAATAGAGGTCATTGCTTCTTATACCACTTTAAATTTTACTATGACACTCTTTCCTAACACTTCTTCTTTAATTTGAATGCTCTTTTATTTTACTTTAATCCCTTGTCTTATCTCATTAATTATTCATTTATTTCCCTAAATTCATATCTTATTCAAACTCACCATCAAACAAAATAAATGCCAAATTTAATTGCTTTTTCTATAGAAGTTCTTCACAAATATGACATTTTTCTTAAGCACATAATTTCTTATGAATAGTTTTGCATAAGCACTGTTTTAATTCTTTCATATCTGTTTCTGAGCCTAGCAGTTACTCAGAAAAAAAAATAAATAAAGATGTAAATCCTGCCCAAGTTTTCCCTTTACACTGGCATACACTTAGAACTGTCCTTGGAACTTCAGCTAACGGGCCGCATAGTTCTATTACTGTGCTTCAAGAGCCTGAGGGAGGAAGGGGGGTGGTGAACATTTAAGCCATGGATAGTCTCACATGGAACCTCCATCTATATTTTTAAAGCTGACCATTTCGCATACCTAATTTTCAAATACACTCAGCTTCTACTCCACATATGTTCAGCATTCTGCTCAAGCACTGCTACTAAATTAGAAATGCATCAGGAAGAAGATTCACCCTGGGGCCCTCTATTGTAATTATTTCTGAACAGCCATCTAAAATCAATCATAGGTTTCAACCCAGACTTCTTGACTTATCTAGGCCTTCCTGACTTCACTACTTTTATATCTAGTTACATACCTAGGCCTATAAAAAAATGTTTCTTTCTAAAAGCTCTCTGGAATTATTTAATTAAAAACAGACTTCACATTGACAAATTTCAAGGAATCAGAAATAATTTTCTCTTTTTTATCACAGATTTAACATTCCTCAAAACTTAAGAACCCTGGTATAAAATACCAGATTAACAAGAAAGAATTCAATTACTCACGATGCGCCTGAATTCATGATGCAACTCTTTGCTCCACAGAAACAATCTCTCCCATCATCATGATTCATTCCAAGGTTATGACCCAGCTCATGAGCAACAATGGATGCAAATGTCTCCACAGTGATTTGCCCAAACTATCCAAACACAGGAAGGTAATAATTAGGTTTCTGAATAAAAAGGAAGTGCTTTGTTTCTCAGATTTTTTATCTACAAAAGAAATGTGTGCATTAAATGTTGACAGTCTGTATGAATCCAGCATCCAGTAAGTATATACCATAGTCTAGTAAGAAAATGGTACAACACATACTGATAGTAGAGATGGACCCTTTAAGAAATAGATTGATCACCTTAGCCCCAACAGATTAATCAAAATAGTTTATGGAAAAACAGATTGATGACTCTTAACAATTCTTCTGAATAGACTGGTTCCTCATCCAAAAGATGCTCATAAACATAATACAGATTAGGAAAGTTGATTCAGGGTCTATGAAAAGAACACACTTTTTGCCTCTACTATGTCCTTCATAATATCCAAAGAGAAGGCATATACAGTCAATAAATACTGCCCTAATGCAGATATACAAAGCAGGACATCAAGAACAACATACCACATTGATCCCGCCTGCATGGCTCCTTGAACACACTGTTCCCACAAATGCCATTCCTGCAGTTCCACCAAAGCCTTTCTTTCTAAATGAAAAAGTAAAAGTTATAAAATGTATCTGTGGAAATGGGAACACATTACTCCTACTTCTACAAGCAATGTCAAATGGATTGGCAAAACCTACAAAAACTGGGAGAAAAATGACAAAGACAAGTAATGATTTTCAAATGAAAATATAGATAGCTCTGTCTTTTCTCCTTTCCATTATCAGAAAATGATACTAATATTACAAATGCATTTTTAAGTTTTTTTCAGACATATGATACTTCTATATACACTAAGCCAAGTAGTTTTTTTCTAGAAGTTCTAGATGAAAAACTTTCTGAAAATGTTTTGCCTTTGTTCAACAAATTTTGAGGTGGAGAGTTAATAAACCCAGGGAATTTATTTACAAGGGAGGCCACAAGGCATGGAGCAGAGTGAAAAAAAGTTACAGTGATCACCATGCTGTTTCTCAATCTGCCCAACTCTGTCTCAGACCTGGCTTCTCAGCTGGAGCTCTCACATTCCCCCAACTCAGCCCTACCCTCCTTTAGGTCGTCACTTGTAAGTCATGTCAGTGATGTTTGCCCCAACCAACTTACAGTGGTCCCTCACTTATCATGGAGTTAAATTCCAGACATCCCCGCAATAAGTGAAAATCAGTGAAGTAGCAAAGTTATATTTATTTTAGTATTTATATGTATTTTAAGGCTTTATAAACCCTTCCCATGCTCTTATAAACCTTTCTTACACTTTTTAAAACACTTATAATGTTCTTAGTCATTCTCTAAACTTATAAACCTATGCAATTTTAACAACACACGTATACAGTACTGTACACTACCAGAAAATCCCGTAACAGAGCGAAAAATCCATGACAAATAATTTAGATTAGTATTTTTTGAAACCCCACTAAACAGTGAGTCCATGAAAGTCGAACCATGAAATAGCAAGGGACTACTGTACCACAGATTTCAACCTCATTCCTTTGGTATTTTCCTACCTACTCTTCCTATTTTATTTTTCCTCCTTACCACTCATCATTATTTACCAAATTATATATACTTTGTCTCATTTACAGACAATCTCTTCCTTAAAACTTAAGAAATCCTGATCTATAATAGTGAATAAAAGTCCCATGAGAGGAGATACTTTCATGTATTTTGGTTATTGTCATGTACAAGTGTCTATGGTATACACTGAAAATGTCTTTTAAGTGAATAACTCCTTCTCTGAGGGATCTGATGAGTGCAGAGAAGATGACAAAGCTCCTGATACACAGGATTGCCAGGGGATCATTTCAGCCAGTTGTGAACTCCACAATCCCTAAGATCCACTCATGTACTCCAAGTCTACCAAAAGGCTTTTTAGAGCTCCAATGACTGCAAACAAGCAACAAGGATAAACGAATATCTGAGAAATGTATTCAATGGAAGAGAGAGAAAAGAGACCAAGTAATTTGGCAGACAGAGAAGGCATAGTACACATGCCTGATGCCTGCTCCATTTGGTCTTATGATTCAAATGATATTACCACTAGAATGAGGAACCTTGCCAATGCAATTTTACTGAAAATTAATTTAAAAACAGGATTATGGGGCTATAAAAGCCTGTTTAGGTACTTTCAGTGCCTTGCTTCAAATCAAGTCAAATTCACATGAAAAAACAAAACAAGCACCATCATCATCATCATCATCATCATCATCATCATCATCATCATCATCATCATCATCACAACAACAACAACAGGAAAAATCAGAGGACCAGGACAAGAAATCCAATAACCCAGTAAAGGGAATCCTAGGAGAAATGATAAAAAAAAAAAAGAAGATAAAATGACCTATAAAAGAATTCAATAAAAACTTAAAACTGAAGGACATCAGTTCCCAGCTAGAAATTATCTACTGAGAACACAGTACACTGTAAGTGACAAAAGTTATAAGTTATAGTTATGAGTGCTACAGCACTTATCTGGCATGCAACAGGCACTGGGTTAGATCTCCAAAACCACCTCTAAAAGACTAAAGATTAACCAGAGCTCAAATTGACAGCATCTTTAAATTCTGACCTGAGACTGTGAAAATACATTTTTAGATACATAGTATATCAAAAATGTTTTCTTTCCATATACCTTTTCACAAAAAGCAACTAGAAAATATGCCACACCAAAATAAAGACCTAAATTCAAGAAGAAGAAGGAGGAGGAGGAGGAGGAGGACATGGGATACAAGGAAGAAAGAACGTAATACAGAAGATAGCTCTCATTATTATGTCATATTCTAGGGTATCAAACAACTAAGTTTTCTCAAATAAATGCAAAAAAACCTTGAGAATGAAATATATATAACAAAATAAGCAAAAATATTTTTCTCATCATTTCATTTCCAGTACTTTTTTTAAGAAATCACTTACAGAACTAACTGTGCACTGTCATGTCTCCGACGAGTTATAAGAAACTTCTCTCGCCACTGTACAAAGTTCCCCAACACATCACCAGCACCCCCAGCTATACTAATCAGATTTCCATTTGTCCAAATCTCCAGTCCAACTAGCACGACTCGAATATTTAACATAATATACATCTAGGAAGAAAAGAGAAATAAAAGCACATAAAATACATTTTAAAATAAGAAAAATCTTTTAACCATAGCAAGTAACATTATTTAAATTAAGAGCTCCCTTTTTAGAACGAAATCTTTCCTTTAATACAGTGATACTCTAACTTCTCAGAAATCTCAAAAATAATAACAGAGATTTATGAATGGTAAGTAACTGAAATTCAAAATCTTTCTTTTATTGCCCATTTTAAAACCTGACAACAATGAAAATTAAGCTTTTTTGGTGAATTTAGGTCCAAAATTTACCCTGGAGTAATGTAAGTCTATTTATATTTTGTACTGCTATAGGTTGGATCTGGAACATTTCCCAGAAGCTGATGTGCTAGGGTCTTGGTCTCTACTATGGAGAGGCAGTGGAACCTAAGAGGTGGGGTCTAGTGGGAAGCTTTGAAGGAATTATACAGCCCACCCCTTCCTCTTTGTCTCTTTTGCTTCCTACCAATGAGATGAGTGGTTTTGCTTCACCACACACTCCTGTCATGCTGTGCTATCTCATCACAGGCCATAATCAATAGGGCCAAAGTTTCACAGACTGAAACTTTCAAAACTATAAACCAAAATAAATTTTTTATCATTAAAGGTTATTTATACCAGGTATTCTATTACAGTGATGGAACACATTTAAAGTAACTATTCATACCCTTCACTGCAGTGGATATAACAAAGTGTTATCCCATGATTCTCTCTGAGGTGTTATATAATACATTATAAACCATGAAAACTTTCTAAATTCTTATCTAAAATTCCAAGCACACCCAAAGATTTCAGATAAAGAACTGTGGAATTCATACCTATTTCGTACAGGTACTGTGAAGAATAATTGAATTAGTAATACAAAGCAATACAAAGCACTTAGCTCTGTTTCTAGAACTTAGTATGGTGTTACCATTGTCATTGTCATTGTCATTATCATTCCTGACCTTTGCTATCAAGGAAATAAAATGCTTGCTAGGTAAAATTGTTTCATAAAACATGCATCTAAGTCTTTATTTTGTCCCATGGGTTAAAATCTAATATCTAAAACTAAATCACATATATACACACACAACATATATTAGTCTCAGAGGAAGACTCTTTGTTCTGCAAAATAAAAGATCTTTTCATAAACAAAAAAATACCCAAGCTAATTGAAAGATGAGTAGATACCAATATGAAAGAGTTTTATTTTCTCAATCTCTTTTACATTTACAGTCCTTTCAAACACTAAGAAAAGTCACAAGACAAAGATCTTTCAAAGACTGAGTCACATAAGCCTATAATAATCAGAACTCAAAATGACACAATTTTTAAATTCTGTTCTGTGGGGCCTGGGAGATGGCTCAGTGGAATAAGTGCTTCCCTGGCAAGCACAAAGGCTTGAGTTCAATCCCCAGTTCCACCAAAAAAAAAAAAAAATTCTGCTCTGAGACTATGAAAGACAGGGCAGAATAATCCTAGGTGACAGAAAAATATAACTTACACTATCCAAGTAGTTTGCTAAACGAATCATTTCTTCTCTGACAGCAGTCTGATTTCTTCCCATCATATCATACTGTAAAAGCAAAGAAAGCAAATTATCATTAATTTAAGAATTAAAAAATCTATAATCTGTTACAATGAAGAATCTATTTCCTGTGAACTAAAAATTATTTCCTGCGAACTAAAAGCATTTAGATATTTATCAACACTTCAAATCAATAAATCCAAATGATATATTCCAGTAATAAATAGGATAAAAAGCAAAATAGGCCCAAATGTCAAATGCACACAATGAAGTCTTCATTTTCTTCAAATTGGTATCATGATAAAAATGTTTTCCTTGGGTCCAGGGAGATAGCTCAGTAAAAATAAAAGCTCGCCTGGCAAGTACAAGGGCCTGAACTAAATCCCCGGTTCCACAAAAATAAAAAAAATAAAGTTTTCCTCTTATTTATTTTTTTATTTTAGGACAGGGTCTACAGGGTCTCAGCGCATAGACCAGACTTGGTTACAGCTTCCCAAGTACTGGATTACAGGTGCATGCCACCAGGCCCAGCCTCAATCGTGCCACCTCAGAGCACCGAGGGAGGCGGTCAGTCAGGGGAGGGGGTGGGCAGGGGCAGGATCCACTGGGTGGGTCCAGGGATAGAACTCCCCGCGCCTGCATCTACCTAACTAGGCGTTTTAATCCGCTGAGCTATTTGGCCAGCTTGTTCACTTTATTTTTTTTTTCATAATTTTATTGAGAAACAAATAACATTGAGACAGTTTCAAATCAAATTGGTAGGACAGTTTCAATAATTAAGACATTGCACACTCTCTTCCTACTGGTTATTTGCTGTGCAAGATGCAGACATGATATCCTATTTACAAACACTACTAGAACAAATCCCTCTACTCATTAAGAGAATGTAACTATATATCTATCCTAACCATACACAGACACAAAACGGACATGCATCTGTATACCCTTTTTTATTTAGTTCCGTTGTTTGAATATTATAGGTGTGTTAACTCAGAAAAATATTTTAAGAGTCCAGTAGACCATAACAGTACTGGGTCTTACGCTTGACTGACAATGTCAGAAATTGTTGACCTGAGTCCCCTACAGCCCAACATAACACCATGGCTTTACTTCTTATACTTCATTTTCATACTTTTCTGTTGGATGGTTAAGGCCAAGATAAAGCAAGACCTTTGCAACAAGACCTGTAGCTTTTGGATCTGATAAATTCAGCCAAATCCCCTCAAGATTTATCCTGGGATCGTGTACCTCAGATTGTAGATTCTCTGTCAGTGTCGTCCCGTGGATGAGTCATGACCATTGCTTGGCCAGTGTGCACTCTGTGAAAGCCTCAGAGAATGTTTTCTTTCCATATGACTCTCCTTAGGCACACTCTACATCATCAATCACTTTCCTCTTTAGCCCCATAATCTCCTTGATCAGAAAATTTGGGACACTACTGAGCTACATGATGTTGCAGTATAAGTTCTCATATGTCCTGAGTCTTAATTGACCTTGGAAGGCTAGGGCCAAAATGTTGGCTTTCCTTGCAGACCTCCTTTTTCTCTAATTTTGGTCTGCAAACTTAGGTTGTTAAACCTCCAGAAGAGAAGCTTATTGTTATTACCATACAACCCAGGCTGTTAAGCTTAACCTCACTATCTATCTGAATATCAAACATCTGGTGGGAATGTAGACTGGTGCAACTGTTATGGAAATTAGTGTGGAGACGCCTTAGAAAACTTGGACTAGAAATCCCATTTAAACCAGCTATTCTTCTACTGGGAATTTTCCCAGAGGATCTGAAAACATCATATCATAGTGATACACGTGTGCCTATGTTTATAGCAGCACAATTTGTGATAGCCAAATCTTGGAAACAACCAAGATGCCCATCACCTGAGGAATGGATGAAAAAGATGTGGTAATTTTATTTTTATTTTTTTACTTTTTTTTTTTTTAGATGTGCTATTTTTATACAATGGAGTATTACTCAGCTATAAAGAATGATAAACTAGACACCCAGTCCTACCCCAGGCCTGGTTAGTATATAGGAGAGATTCCAACTACCCTGCGCTGGTGGGACCTACTACTGCTAGCAGCCCAGGTGCAGTGTGGGTGAGACCCTCTCCTAGCCCCTTGGGACGCCCACCACTACCACGCAGCTCCTCCTCCACCCCGCCCGGCGAGTAGGAATTTCTGCCACATTCCGGAAATCCCCAGACCCAGTCCTAGCCCAGGCCCAGTGAGTTTGTGGGAGAGCTTCCTGCTACCCTGCACCTGCGGGACCTACTATTGGTCCCAGCCCAGGCGCAGCATGGGTGAGACCCTCGCCCACACTTGGGACGCCCAGCACCATCTCGCAGCACCTCCCCCACCTTTCCCGCCGAGTAGAAATTTCTGCTGCGTTCTGGGAACCCCCAGACCCAGTCCTAGCCTAGGCCTGGTGAGTGTGTGGGAGAACTGCCTCTCCCCCTACTCCACCTAGTCCCCTCCGGGATCAGCTCAGGCCTGGCATACAGGCCTGTGGTGAAACCCTGCAGTAGCACTCTCTGCAGAGAGTGTAGAGGATAGAACCACCCAGCTAGTACAGGAGCAGAAAGTCTTGCCAGAGGGGCACAAAAGGTTCAGCCCCAAGGGCAGCAGCAGGAAGGAGCTGAGCACAGCAGCCAGACCTAAGCCAGACGCAGCTGGATAAGTCCAAACTTTGTAGAGCTGCACCTGAATTTCAGTACATGCGAAGGTTATAACTACAGCAAAGATCTACAACAAACGTCAGAAGACAGTGCTACACAAAATGAAGAGAAGGAACAAAATGCAACCTCAGAACCCAAGCCCACTTGTAAGAAGTGCAGAGGACACTAATACAAAACAAACTGGGAATCACACAGCCGAAAGCAATGAATCAATGACGTCTGAAATAAAGAAAGAGCTGCAGAAAGGTACAGAGGAACTCAGATTGGAAATAAAAAAAAGAAATCCCTGAATTAATAACATCTGCAGTAAAGAATCAAACACAGAAACATATGGAGGAAATCCAATGCCCACCCAGAAAAAGTGCACAGCACACTAGCTCGGCTCAAATGCATGAATTAATAGTGTCGATAGCAAATAAGCAACAACAGAAAGTTATAGAGGAACTTAGAGCACAATTCTTTCCTGAAATAAAAAAAGAATTCTCACAACTCATAGCATCTGAAGTAAAGAAGCAACTACAGGAACATAGGGAGGAAACCCAACCTAAAAAAAATTGCAGTAAAACAATTTATAACTGCTTCTAAAAAAGACATTGATTAAAAAATATAGGGCTTAGAAAAATGATGGATTTCTTGAATGAGCAATACAGAAAAGAAATAGATTACATGAAGGACAGTCAAAGAGATATACAGGAAATAAAAATCTCAATCACAAGCTTGCAAAACCACTTAAGTGAAAGTGAAGACAAAGATTCAGATCTTGAAGATGCTGCTGCAGCTAGTGAAAAGGTAAGAAACGATCTCTT